AGTAAATACAAAAAAATGGTAATGGAGAAACAAAAATAATATTGAATCAAAACCTGAGCACCTGCCCTGGCTTACCAACATTCTGTGAGTCTGTGAATTTAATGTCTCTTCACTGCAAGAAGATGCCCCTGTCACTTGATAAGAGCATTCTTATCAGCAAACCCCTAAGTCTGTCTCAGTTGAACCCCCCACCTTCCCCCACCTTCCTTGTATCTGGTTTGGTGCCCTAAGCCTATGATGCCGAGCTTAAGTGCCAGGAGGGATATATATCAGGATGCAAAGATCTCTGAGTCAGCTGTGGAAAAGGCAACTAGACAACATTACAGGAACACATTCAGCTCCGTGAGTTTTTAACCCTTGGTAAGTCTGAACACAATAATGACTAACTAAATTTGTTGGAGGGTTGATCTGGCTGAAAAAAAAAAAAAACATACAAGAAGAGAACACTCTGGGCTTGTGGATCTGACCCGAGTGTAGGGGTTGAATACGGGACGGAGCACACTCAAACCTTTTCATAACTACATATGACAAACTGGTGCGTGAATCGTGGTTATTACCAGTTCAGTGCAAACCTTGATTACTGAATTTGTTCCCAAGGAACCGAGAAGGACCCTCCCTGTTTGTGGCTTCCTGGCAAACAGTTTTCTGGAAAAGGATGGATCTGAGGCATTACACAACCACAGCACAAATAGTTCTTTACTCCCAGGATGATCTTGAGGCTGATGGGACAGCTTGAGCGTGGGGAGAAAGCAAGCATGGCGGTGACCACAGGGCAGTGTGGGTGACGTTGCCTTCTCCCTCTGAGGTCAAGATGTTTGTTTGCTCTATTCTGAAGCAAGGTACATGCTGGATTGTCTTTTAGTGGCTTCAGTTTGGCTCGTGTTTGGATCTTTAACTTGGTTCTCTCTGTCTCAGAGAAACTCTGGGTAACATCTATGAGCCTAACCCATCAGTGGAAGAAATAGTAGTACCCCTGTCTAGTTCTTTATTTCAGTTCATTAACCACGCTTTATCTATCTTTATATCTTTGCTGAGGAGGAGGGGATCTGGAGGTCTTGGGTCATGAAGCACATCAGAGAGCCTGTGTCAATCCCTTCACAGTGGCTTTGCTTTCTTTTTGGGGGTTACATTTTTAACGAAAGATTGAGCTATGTAATTTCGCACAGCTGAGCATTGCTGCATTGGGTATCCAACACACTGTGCCTTAGCACACCACTTCTTTCTGCAGAAGAGTGTTTCATAATCTCTGAAGCAGGAAGGATGAATATTGCATTTAAAAAAAAGGAAAATAGGTTATCACATAGGAATGGATTCCTTGACACTTGGAGGGGGCTAAATGTTAACTAAAGCCAAATCTGATATTCACACACACATTCCAGAAATCCCAGGCAGCGGAGCTTAGCCCTTGGTGATGTCTATAACCAGAGACTCTCTTCCAAGGAAAGAAGGGGTCATATTTGTCCTGATTTCCCCAAAGCCTTTTCAGAGACCTAGAGGATAAATCTGTTACCAAAACTCCATAAGGATCAATCGGTTTTCTCAGCTACTCTAAACTGCAGCCTCCACACGAAGCTGAGAGAGCAGAGAAGTCTTTTACAGAGCAAACACCAAAGGTCAATCTGATGAGTACTGTGGAAGTCTGTGAGGAGTCCTCGATTTTACTTTTTATTATTTTAGATTGAATGTGTGTGTACATGCAAGTGTGCGCATGTGTCCGTGGAGGCTGGAGGCCATGGATACTTCAGGTCAGAGGCATTGGATATCCCAGCAGTGGTGGTACAGGTGGCTCTAAGCCATCAGCCGTGGGTTCTGGTCCTCTGGAAGAGCAGTCCATGCTCTTAAGCACTGAGCCATCTTTCCAGCCCTGAGTCCTATTTACATAACACATTCAACCTAAAACTAGACTTGAGTACTCCTGACCAAGCGTAGAGGTGCGAGGTGCACCTTCAAGACTACATAAACACATAAAGGGACTTTGTGTCAAAAGAGGAAGGATGCTGAGGAGATGCAAGCACTAAGATGTTTAATCCCTGGGGCATGCTGGGAGAAGTGAAAGGGGCTCAGTGAAAGCATCTTGAAGCAGAATTTTGAGACCAAATAAGTTAATAGTTGGGGAATTTGAAGGAGCCGCCAATGAGGGCTGAGGACAGTCTCTTCTGCAGTGGAGAATGAGGTCTCCTCAGCACTCAGCTGGGAAAGAGGGCACTCCGGAGGGGACACATGTTGCAAACGCTAAGTCTGGTCACATGGTTTGCTTGTTGTCTCAAGGGTCTAGTGTAGACTTCCTGGATTTCAACACTTTGTATCAGATACAGTACTCATATTAGGTCCTTTTATTTTCTTTGATTTATTTTAAGGAATGGGGCCTAGAAAGGAGTGTGGAGTTTTTCAAGGACACATAGTCAGTTTTGTGGACTAGGGATTTATAACTACATGTGTAGTAGTTGATCCTAAAGAATTCACTCTTTCTCCTGTTAGTACGTCTAGACAGGAGTTTGACCAATGAAAGTTAACTTAGTCCTTTATATTTTGAACTGTCTCCAATACAATAGCTTCCGGATAAAATATAAAATGTCCAGGTAATTTTGAATTTCTGAAAAAAAATAAAAGTTTAAATATATTTTTACTGAGTTTTTTTTTCTTATTTATTTATCTGGTAATCTTAATTCTAGTAGGTTCTCCAGACTTGGGGAGGGAGGATTCCTGATTTATTACTATTTTGAAAGAATTGGAGAGTTCAAGAATTTGATCTGAGAGCGATTCTCCAGCCCCCGCTCCCCTATTCCCACCCCTACTCCCACCTCCACCCCAACCCTCACCTCCACCCCCACCCGGTAGCTTTGGCACCGGTAGCACACACTAAGAGCAACGCTGTCCTTGGCTGCTCACCACTGCCTTCTGTTTTCCCAACTACACTTTGGAGTCACAAATCTTGCCTGTTGACAGGGGCAAAGAAGGCTCACTGCACAGGAATTAGATTCAGTAATTAGAGGAGCTAGCAATGTTCTCCCTAAAGCCACCGAGGGCATTGTGAGGTGTAGGCAGCTAGTGTTTCCTCCGTGGTCTGATGGAAAAGTCATGAGGTCAGATGTCCTTACTCACAGTCAAGGACGGTCTCTGAATCCCCACACTGATTTATGCAACCACAGTCCTTACAGCAAACTCATTTAAATGCCAACTACTATTGCTGGTAGAAAGACTGTAGAAAAGTCTTCACGCTGAAAAGGGGGACTCATGAAGGACATCCCAGTAGGATAAAGGCAGAAAGGAGAGCAGGAGCAGCCAAGCTCCTTCCCCTTCCCCCGGCACTGTTCACAGACTGGTGGGTGTGTGAGAGCTGGAAGGCTAGAGTGGTAGCCTGAGAGAGAAAAGTAACAAAGACAGAGCGTCTTGAGAGTCCAAAGAAAAGACCACGAAGTGGAAATCACATATATGACATCAGAGGGCATCAGTGTGAGGTGGGGACACGTGGAGTAAATACCACGAGTTAAAGTCGGACAGGCCCCGGGACAGGCTAAGAGCATCAGCCGTATCCGTGGAAGGTTAATCTTATGCAGCGGGGTGCCTGGACACTATGTCACATTACGGAACATCATTGTCCCTTTGGAGGAAGGGGTTAAGGCTATTTGTGAGTTCTTTGGAGCTTTTCCGAAACTTCCTTCCCAAGGTAAACTTTCTTGAATGTCGGAGAAAGAAAAAGACCACCACCAACAAAAAGATCAGGACTTAGCAGTTAAAACTTTATTTTATATTTTACTTTTCGTGCATGGGTGTTTTGCCTGCACGTGTGTCTGTATGTGCATGCCTGCTGTTATCAGCGGACAGAAGAGGAGGTTAGACTCCCTGGGAGTTACAGATGGTTGTGAGCCTCCATGAGGGTGCTGGGAGCTGAACCCTAGTTCTCTGCAGGAATAGCAAGTGCTCTTAACCTCTGAACTCTCTCTCTAGCCTTGAAGTTTTAATTTTTTTTACATTTATCTTTGCCTATACTTCCCCCTATGGTTTACGTTTGTAGATCAAAGTATATATAGGTCTGCGGATACTTTTCCCACTGTGGTTTATGTTTATGGAGCGAGGTATAAGTCTGCAGCCTAACTAGTCTGGGTATGCAGTGTTAGATAGGTCCATGGTTTGCACAAGAGAGAAAACGTTGAAGACATCTAGGAGATACGTAGTTGATGGACTCTATCTGGACGTGGTGTTAGAGAACAAAGGTATTGGTTAGCCAATCCCCAGGACCCAATCCTCTGCTTCTGCATGTCTGTTTCAGGCCACATGGAATGTACCCATTATTGTCCACAGTCTAGAAATCCTAGAATCTTTTCCTTTCCTAGAATGGAAAGGAAAAGAATACACTGTAGAAAATATCTTTTGGAGGTGGGCTAGTCTGAAGCTGGATGCATATAAAGTTTAAAATATTTATGAATATTATAAGCATAGCATTCAGGTAATTTCCCTTCTTTTCTTGGGATTATTTGAGAGGAAATATGATATTATAATTAAATACTATTGGATTATTTTCTTGGGGGAGCATATACCTGGATTTGAGACAAGGTTTCATGTATTTGAAACTGACCTCAAATTGGCTATATAGCCAAGGATGACCTTGGATTTCAGGTCGTCTGCATCTATCAGCTCAGTACGTCAGTTACATGTATGCACAATCCAATTAGGCCTGATTTTTCCAGTGCTGGGAATTGAACTCAGATCTTTGTGTGTGCTGGGCAAATACTCTACCAACCCTTGTATATCTATGGCCCTTGTATATCTAATTTTTTTTAAACTTTCTTTTAGTTGACAAAATCTCTTAGTTGACTGTTTTCATTGCACGCTATTGAGTACATTCGTTGATTTATAGGATATTTTCTAAAACTGATTTCTCTGGCTCGCATGTGTCAACACAAAACGCCAAGCTTCTGAGTCAACAGTGCTCCGAATATCTGATAACTAACAGTCTTTTTGACTCGAGGGTCTTCATTTCCTTCCACTCCCCAGCCGAGATGAGTGACAGCCCTTCCCTGAGTCTTCCAGCACCAAGCCAAGGTCCTACTACCCCACGTAAAGGGCCCCCCAAGTTCAAGCAGAGGCAGACTCGACAGTTCAAGAGCAAGCCTCCCAAGAAAGGGGTGAAAGGGTAAGTGTGAGATCTAAGGGCAGGGCTGTCTCTTCTGATCGCCATCACGCAGACTCAGAGCCGTCAGCCACGCCCTCCAGCTTCCTCTCCAGGTCATCCTTGTTGAATCCTATCGGTATCCCTGGACTCCCTTCCTTTGTAAGCCCCGGGGAGAATGGCCAGTAAAAAAGGAAAATAGAGCATCTCACAATGGCTTTTAACTTGACCTTCCAAATTTTTCTTATCTGATCTTTCGAAAAATAATTTTTAAAGACTTATTTTAATTATGTGTGTGTGTGTGTGTGTGTGTGCGTAGTATGTCTGTGTAGGGGTATATACATTTGAACGTAGGTACCAGAAGCAGCCAGCGGAGGACGCTTTCGATCCTCTGGGACTGTAATTGCAGGCTATGGTGAGCTACTCAATTTGAATAATAGCAACAGAACTCAGGTCCTCTCCAAGAGCACCAAGTGTTCTTAACCACTGAGCCAGCACAGCTGCCCACTCTCTGTTCTTTTATGCAGACACAACCCGTGCTTTAACCTGGAATTCTGAACTGTCAGTCATTTCCAGAAAACACTGGGTTTTGTTTTGGTTCTATTTTTGATTTTTTTTTAATCTTCATGTCTTATTTCTTCAGTTCTCCATTTTACTCTGTAGTTCTTTGGAAAAAAATCCTATTTTCAACACATACCCTACATGCTAACTTCTCTTTTACTGCTGCTTAAATTACGTCATTCCTTTCCTGTTTCTATAATGATGCATTCAGCCATCATAACTAGTGTTAGTTTATATTACATTGACTTATCTATATCTTTTCACTGGAGGTAAGATCACTCAGAGGAAATTTGATTTTTCTTTAGTTCTCTGTGCCTAATGTGTTGTTGGGAATGCAGTAGATTAATTAACTAATGTCAATGTCTTACTGCTTAGTCATATGTATATGTATATGTATATGTATATGTATATGTATATGTATATGTAT